GATCTGGCAAACCGCAAAGTGTGCCGACATCCGAACTTGCCAGAGATTGGAATCCTTCGAATGTGTTGATTTTATGTGCCAAAGGGCATCTGAATATTTCTTTCCTCGACTTCGGCGACGAGAATCGTATCGATAGAGAAGGGGGATCCCCTTCCACCTTGTGCTTTTTATGATTTTATGAGTTGGACGTTAAAGTCCGTAGCAGCTGCCAAAGTCAAACCTCTTGACCTGTTTACAGGCCTCCCATGATGGAACCCAGCTGCTACAAAGGGTCTTGGCCTGCCTACCACTCATCCCCGCAGGTTGCTGAAGAGGGTAGGTCTCGAAACCGCCTTAGCGATTGTCTAGCGTCGAGAGGTTAGTCCCTCAAGGCGCGTGTCAGCTGACACTTGAGTGTCGAACGGGACCCTCGAAACCATCGAGGGGCACGCGAGTATGGGCAGTACATAGTACGCCATCACCACGACTGCTTGCGTACTCATGCATGGCTAGTCGTTATGAGGAAGGTTGCATCCGCGCGGCATTTGTACGCTGTCTAGCGTTGGACAGCCAAAAGATTTCCCTGCTATTTGGTTATGGGTCTGACACCGTACGGACTACACGAGTCTGGGTTTTGTTAGTATCTCGATTCTTTGAATTTTAGGCGCTGTGTGATGTGTGGCAGGATTGACGCGTCCTAGCAGCCCCCCCCCCCCCTTCGGCAGCACAGTGCCCAGATCCGCGCAGGGGTCCGATAGTGACGTGGGACGACGCGTATCCCCAATGCCAAAGTGCATGATAAACGCCCATCGGCTGTGCGTCATCTACGACTGTAACATGAAGGCGTGGCTTAGGCGGGTGCAAGGAACGGTCCGACGGTCTTGGATCCTCGAAGTGCGCCGGGATCCGAAGTTGTACGGTAACAAATTCAACGACGAACTGACACTCCTTGGTTGCAATAAAATGACTATCGGACAAACGTCATCACAAATGGAAGGTCATGAGTGGTCGCAAATGAAAAATAACATGGTTGAATGACCGTCAAGCGACCCGTATCAACCCCGATAAACTCCGCCACCAACGCTAGGATGTGTGCTGGCGCTGCAAGCCTCGGCAATCCGCGCGGCTTCGAAACTCATGTTCTTCGCAGGCAAAGTACACGAATGACCACAACAGCGTCTCGAACGGTTACAGGTCGACGGGTTTGCGGCAAAAGAGATAGATCAAGGCCGAGCTTACCATCACCGACAAACCCAGGTCTGGTTGTGAAAATGAAAATCATGGTTCCAGGTCCCACAAGTGACCCCCTATAAACCCCGATTAACTCCAGTGACAAGGCGAGGTGGTGTGCYGGAAATACTCCTCATGCATCCCCCAGGAACCCCCATTCTGTAACTCCAACGACAAGGCAGCAGTACAGAAAACGACCAGAKCTCCAAGTGCAGTTATGCATCCCYCACWMACCCCCATTCTGTAAATCGACAACGCACACACGTGCGCTGGCAGTCTCTACTTCCGCAGTCCTCGCTACGSTCGTGCGTCAACCGTGGCAAATACATGGCGGATCTCCCGAATGGCCACAACAAGCACGATCCTCGAAGTTCGCYGGGATCCGAACTTGTCAGCGATCTGTGTCCAGGGATCGCGAACAGTGCACTGTCGAAAGGCCATTCAACAATCGTGMGCGATCAGAAAAAAACAAGGTTATAGGCTCCTTCAACAACCCCCACAAAACCCGATTCAGCCACCCCCTAAACGGCATGCTATTCCGCATTTTTCCCCGCCTTGGCAGAAGGATTCGCATTATTTCCCACTCCAGGCGCACACCTTAGAGGACTTAGAAGAACATGACTGCCGTGACCCTAATCAGACCCTCACCAGACGTGACGACCGTTTTCTTATTTTTTGGTAGTCGCCAGCAATRATCGTCWGACCGTGATGTTGCAGGAATGTGTTTTCGCGAAGCGACGTCTCACGAAACATGGGGTAACCGTTGGTGACTAGGGCTCGCCGGGCTTGGAGTGGAAAATTTTCGTAGCTCAACAAAAATGTTGTTGGCAATGACAGCCACATTTGATGTTGCTGAATTAGGGTTAGRCGATGGATTCGGCGACACAAATTACTTTAAGTCCGCCCCGATCCGAACTTTATGAAATCGGGGTTCGCGGCAATTGAGGCTAACTGCTTGTGTAGAAAGCGAGCATTCGTGCCACCAATGGACGGTTTCGTCGCCTGCACCTCCTGSTCGACCTGGAGAACAGCGGGGYTGTGGCGTTGAGGCGACAACTGTGGATGTGGAAGTTCGGATKCCGGCGAACTTCGGTTGAGACGGGAGGAAGGACAARATTGGCGGGCGGGGTTTAGAGGAGTCGAGGACGACCGATTTCTTTTTCGCTGCGAGTCGCCAACAACGACTRTCAGACCCTGATATTGYAGGAATGTMATTTTTCCAAAGCGACGTCTCCGCGGGGCAACCGTCGATGACAGGGGCTCACAGGGTTGAAGTGGAAAATCTACGAGGCTCGTCATAAATGTTGTTGGCAATGACAACAGATTTGATGTTTCTGAATCGGGGTCTTGGGAGTAGATGGATTTGCCGGTACACATTACTTAAAGTCCGCCGGGATCCGAACTTTGTGAAACCATGCTTCTCGACAATTGAGGCTAACTGCAAGTCCGGAAAGTGAGCAGTCATACCA